CCCCGGGTCAAAAAAAAAAAGATCCCCGACCCACCACACACTTGACATCACTCACACACATGACGTCACTCACACACATGACATCACTCACACACATGACGGTTTTTGTGTCTTCTTGTGATTGTACATATGTTTATGTTATTGTTTATAGAACATGAGCGTTTCATGTCTCTGTCTGTGCCTCTGTTCTTGTCCATGTCTGTATCTGTGTCCTGCTTTCTCTCTCTCTCTTTCTCTCTCTCTCTCTCTCTCTCTCTCTCTCTCTCTCTCTCTCTCCCTCTCTCCCTCTCTCCCTGTATCTGTATCCACAAACACCATAACTCTGAGTCGACTCACTTGCCCTGTTTTTGTTCCAAGCTACACTAAATACTATTGCACATCAAATGACTATGATATCAACCATTGTAATGTCAGGACTGGTACAGCACTAAGCCTAGCTCATAAAGTCATAGACAGTTCTGTGTGAATAGCTCGCCCTACTAGGCCGTGGATACACAGCACGGACGGTCCAGCACGTGCTCAGCAATCCCACAAACATCGTGCTCATCAATCCCACAAACATCGTGCTCAGCAATCCCACAAACATCGTGCTCAGCAATCCTACAAACATCGTGCTAAGATCTTGCCCTTCCTAAATCTGAGTAGGTCTAGTCGGAGAGTCAACGTGTGACTGAATCCGAGAGAGAAATTCTGACTCCAAACAGGAGCGTAATGGTGGAGGTCATATCGTCTTCTTAACCATACAAACCCAGGGAACTTGTCTGAGTACATCTAGCTATTATACAACAGAATCTGTGTCCACACTGGCGTCTGTGGTGTAGAGCTTAGGCTACCGTTTTGCCCCCAGAAGAGAGGAGTTTGATTCCAACGTTGGGGAGATATTGAAGTATCTCAGACTTCCTAATCAGATATGGTCGCTTTTAAGCACACGGGGGCTATCCCGAAAAATGCTGTTTTAAGAAAATCAAAGGTAAAGTTTTTGCCCCTTGTTCAGTTTCTCTATAACCAAACAAATATACACACCAATGAAACCAAACTTCTCCTATGGGTAGAGCAATGCCCACTTTTGGTGTAGGTCTAGATTTCTGGAAACCCCCGACTTCTAGGTTAGCCCGCTTGTCCATAAAAATGACCTTGTATCCTACACAGCTGGCCTGCTTTGTGGTTTTAAACAAATAGTTCTATAGTGATGGATTACTTTTAAAGACAAATGTACTTACATGTATATAGTTGTGTATATAGTTGTGTATATAGTTGTGTATATAGTTGTGTATATAGTTGTGTATAGTGTTGTGTATAGTGTTGTGTATAGTGTTTGTGTACGTGTGATTTTTACACGCGAGTGTGTGTGTGTGTGTGTGTGTGTGTGA